AACGCGACCCCGTACACACAGCACTGTACACAGGACTAAAACAGCAACTGCCCACGAGATATAGCTTTTCATGCAATGGAATAGGTGGCAGCCAGTGCACATCATAACATTTTATTTTCCATTTTATGAGCTTAGTTGTCTTTCATTGCTCTCCATGCGTATATTGGCAGGATGCCGGCAAGTGACAGGGTCTTAAAGATCGCCCTCTGTAGCTGAAACAAAAATAATTTCTCCCAATTGACTCATGAGGGTGTTCTTTACCTGGAAGTAATTTTATGGTTATAAGTGAAAATAACATAGTTAAGTTTATGTCACTGTGATAAGAGTAATTTGTTTGTATAATAGCGTTGTCTACACACTGTGAACTTAATGTATTATATATATAAGTTCCAGCAAATCAAATATCACATTGTGGTTTTACAGAATGCCAGTATACTATTCACAGTTATCCGGCATAGAAATAATACACCACCTTGTTTCAGTAGCACACAGCAATCTCAGTCATGTTTAGGCGCTTAAATTTCACATCTAGATTCTGTACCAGAATTATATAAAAATGTTGGGAAGGTTAATCCAAAATACGTTGTATTTACGCAGCTGAAAACTGATCATGGTTTTTTCAAACTTAGCCATTTAGGTGTATCGGGTTTGCAATTACCTGACAGGACATTTTGTAATTCAAATTGGACAGGTCATAGAGTGATAAGGAAAACTGAAAACTAGCTTAAGACATCGCTTTATCGTGTATGTATTTGTTCAGTTGATATGAACAGATAGCAAAGTAAAAGATATAGCATTATGGTGAAGATATTTTGAAGGAAGTCAAAGATTTAGGAGAAGAAGTTAAACCAACCTGGCCTTGGTGGGCCGTGAGGAGTATAGGAACCATCAGTACTTGTTTCATAGCCTGCAAGAAGACAGTTCAGAGAATGCAGAGAAGAAAACACTCAGAAAAAAATGCGTTGCAGTGAGAAGTATTCATGCTGAGAAACAAGACACCCATTAGTATCACTTGTATAGTATACTGCCCTCTACAATGTAAGTGCATGTAAGTGTAGCAGAGCAAAGTATGCAACAGCGCCCTCAACCACAACAGAAAAGTAAGTTGTATTATTGTTTGTTGCCGTTAGTAATTCATTTCTGCACGTCTAATAATCTGTAAATTCGAGAATTAGAAAATATGAAACATTGTTAATTTATAATGGTTACTAAGGAAACATAAGGCCATAGAAAGCATCTGATTTTGTGACCGTAATTTCAGAACAAACATTGTCAGAAAGATTGAAATAAGACGCTTCAGATAAACCTCATTCTGTTCTGTTCAATGATTGCAGACTCGTGATGAAATGAGATTAGGTCACATATTATATCCTTCTCTGCCTTCAAGTTAAATCAACGCTGTCGTCGTAACTGAACATACACATGTAGGAGGTTCACATACTACTGTAACATGTTTTTAAAAAGCAGCTAAAATCCTGGTTACTTTTACAGGTAAACTAGTAAATTCAAACAAATTCTGTGTCAGGCTAGGTCAAAGTTCATGGGCTTTAGGAGTTACGCGTAGTACATGTGATGTACATCATGACTAAACACAAGCAAAGTTCTGACGACAGTGTTGCTTTTAATGTGTTCTTAATTATGACAAAATTGTGTGCGTTAATAACATTGTAAAGCCAATCAATTTTTATTTAATCTTGCAACATCATGCATTTATGTAAATCTGTGCAGCTACGTGTACTGTACCAACCAACCTTGGTTCATCACAGAATCTAAAACCGTATCAAGTTCCTTGTAAAAATCCTCAAAACCTGGAATGAGATGGAAGTCGTACATGGAAAAGGGAAAAAGGGAAAAGATTGTCAGAAAGGAAGGAGATCAACTTGATTGAAGGAGAAAAAAAAACGAAGGAAAAGCAGAGAAAATTGTGGCAAGAGAACAAACCTGGTTGGTTTGTGCTGGGCAGCTGGTGGGGTTTAGGAGGCGGCGGAGGTGGCACTCGACACGTTTGCACGGTCGTCTTGTAGCCTACGAATAAAGCAGCAAAGATCATATTTTCACAATACGCAAGTTTAAAGTAAAGATGAAAATAAGAAGCACAAAGTAAACAATGAGAAGTTATGAAAAGAAGTCACACCTGACGAAGGAGAAAAAGAATTATGTGGTGGTGGTGGTTGCATAGCAACAGCCTTCGGTGGTGGACTCAGTCCTGTTGGCAGACAAGAGCATAGAGAAACACAGCTAAGAAAAGGAATGCAGAAGACAAGCCAATGAAAACAGAGCGCAAAAATGATACAGCAAAATTAGAGGTGGAAAGCTGAGCCTAACCTGCAAACGAACTTGGTTTTGGAGCCGCAGTGTTGACAAAGATGGTAGCGTTGAAGTCATGCCCTGACAAACAACAAGACAGCATACAAAAGCAAAACACAAACTACATACTGAGCATGTGCAAAAAAAGTACAGAGCTAATAACACCACATGCAAATCATTGCACTCACATGTACATGTTCTCATTGAGAGCCAATCAGATGTCAGCAAATATTTCAAAAATAATCTGCTATGAACACAATGCTTCTTATTTTCCCTGGATTCAATGTGATGGTTCCCCCATCTTCCTTATTTAGTTGGTTTTATTCTGGGAAAGATTCTAAAGTCCACAGGAATCCAGAAAAGCACATTAAGTTGCACAGTATTGCTGATTTCCAAAACACTATGTTGCTAGGTACGATGCAAAAAGAAGGAAATAGCAAGTTCATCTTTACAAAGCTTAAGTTTGTGCAAAAAATTGGAAGAAAAAAAAGATTGGGAAACAAACCTGAGAACGGAGCAGCTACAAGTGAAGGTTGTGGAGGAATAGAGTGTGGGATGGTTCTTGCATTCAGTTGTCTAAGAGGAGTTGATGGCAGAGTAGTGCTAGCAGGCAAAGACTGGTGTGACAGCGCTGCGCTCGGTTGGAAAGATGATAAACTGTGAGGATTTTGCGAATAAGATTGCAAAATAGGAGATAATGTTCGTGGGAGGGAAGATGTTTCATATAGAGCTGCTGACTGGGGAGGGTTATAAGCGGATATGGTTGCTGGGTGATGAAGTGATGAAGAAGATGATGCAGCTGCAGTGTGAACAGATGGTGATTCTGTTGAAAGTGGAGTTTCTAATCTCAGTTGGAAGGAAGGGGATATGTGCGTAAGTGGCAAATGGGAAGACAAAGGAAGTGATGCGGCTCCAGGAAGAACAGGCATGGGAAGAGGACTATAAAGCGTTGTTTGATGCGAGCTGAAATTAGGAGGATGTGGAAGAAGAGATGGCCCAGACAGAGATGAGTTTGAGTACACAGATGACGGTGGGAAAGTGGAAGATGCCGCTGAGAATGGATGAGATCTGGAATAAGCAGAGTTGGTGACTGGAAAGAAACAGAAAGAAGGGATTCTGCAATCTCAAAGAGTTCAAATATTTGCAGCTATAGATGCGAGTTAGATGTAATGAAGTTGAAAGATGAAAGAAGAATGAAATAGATTAGATTTACACATTCAATGATTCAATAGCCGTAAAGTATTAACTATTGAGAAATAAAAAAAGAGTTAGTAGTAGTGTACATCAGTGAGATGAAGAAGACTGAAAGTATCTGCCAAACCTGGAGAAGAGGAGACTTGTGGACCAGGAGAAGAGGAGACCTGTGGACCAGGTGGTGGAGGTGGTGGTGGTGGCGGAGAGGATACAGAATGTTGAGACCTGGAATTCAATGCTGCGAGACAAAGAAAAACAATAGAAATGAAGACACAACACTCGGTACATAGAGGAAGCTATAAACGAATAAATAGTTGAAGTTAGTAATGGTAGTACCGTAGTAATGGTAAAGTGAGTGTACAAGTCTGACATGGGATATTGTAAGTTATGTAATATAAGTGAAAGTAATGTACAAGGCTGACTGGGATATCGTAAGTGATGCTGTATAAGTGACTATGGATAGGCGAGATTGACTGTGATTCTGGTTTAATATTTTATGAATGAAAATACAAGTTATGATGTTCTTGTTCTTCTTGACTCGTTATGTATGAATTAGAATATGCTGTGAATTAAAATGTACATCAATGATTAGAAAAATGAAAACGCCACACATGGTAGTAGGTTGAGGAGACGAATGATAAGACAAAGTGACAAAAAACAGAAATATCGACTGAATTCACAGTTCAATGAAAACAATAGGAAAGCTATATATTCAACATTAACTACAGTTACTATGACAACAAAAGTAAACAAAGAAACACAAATAAAATAAACACCTTTTGATGATGGGGAGGAAGAAGGAGACACACCGGATTCACTGGGAGGTTGCTGCATCATCTGTTCGCGTCGAGAAGCATCCAGCTGATCGGCCGATATGCCTAGACATCGAAAAAACATGCAAAGGAACAGAAACAAGAAAAACAACGAAAACAATGTCAGAACAGATTGAAAGGAGAAAGAATAATAATAATCACAGGAAATAATTATACTTTACAGTCAAGAAAGAAATAGACATAATAATATTTTAATAACACAAATTGTAAACGAAATGAATTAAAAAACTGAATAGTATTAATTTTCATATAAATTTGTTGCATTGTGCACGAGTCAGATCAAATTCCCTTGCATAAAATTGTTATGAGATCTCATCAGCGTTCCTAGGTGATCCTGTTGCATTGTGGGATATTTCATACATGTACAATACAACAGCTGTAATCCTTTCAATTTTATGAACCAATTAAGTATAACTGTTTTGAAACACAGTCGGAGTTAAGCACCCCCTAGAGGCAAGATTCCAATTCCTTTGTTTTTATTATATAATCATGAGTTTGGAAGCGCATTGACGACATGAACAAATCCATGTTACTCTGCAACTCTGAAAAGAAACTGTTCATGAAATATGTTTACATTGAATGTGTAATGTGCAAAATGCTACAGTGAAAAGAAATAAGCAGTGAATACACCCCACCAATGCATACCTTTCATCCCTATCAACAATAAATGTGATCACCCTTGCAAACAATTCAGATCATACCATTGTAGCTTTAGGGGTAAAGTAGACAGTGAAAGCAAGAAGAAAAAGTTTACCTGGTTGGCCTGAAGAATGCAGCAATTGACGATCTAATGGACGATGTAAATCTACAGAAATAAGATGAGAGCAGAGCAAAGATATGCAAATTTACAAAGCGAGAATAAAGAAAGAGTTTTCGAGTGATATTTTCAGATTTGACTTGGTTGAGGAAGATGACATAAAGGAAAAGAAGTGCAGTCTGTAGCGATGTGTCAAGTTCATCACTACACTTTTTATAGAATGCAGTGATATTTGACTTTTACTAAAATGGTGATGCTACTGTGATACCGAGGGTATAGAGGTAGGTATGGGTTAAACATAATGCAAGAGTGTAGATTGCGCGAGCTATTAAACAAGACTGAGCCATTGTAGGCAACAGATGCATTGTCTACCTTTTAAGCATTTACATCAAACACAAAAACTCACCAGCTTCACTGATGTGCAACTGGCTCATATCTGGCGGTCCTGGAAACTGTTCTTCTGGAATTGGTTCTGGAGCAGGAGGAGGTGGGGGGTACTTCTCTCGCTGTGACATGAGGATAGCTTCACGGACACCGCCAACTGCATCAATTAACTAATTAGAGTAAGGGAATAATGTTTTGTGATCAGTTTCTGGGAGCAGAGGAATAGTGTACACTAATTTTATTTCACATAAACTGTAGAGGAATACAACTGCAAAAAATAATATGCATGAAACTACAATTTTCAAATAGCTGAAATAAATTTCTGAAAATCTTTTTTTTACACGTATACACCAAACTTAAAGATTCACATTTCAGGGTATAAACCACATGGCCACCATCAACTAACATCCATAATAGTCCTGCACCCATTCATACAAGATATGCAAATAAGCTCATTATAAATGATGCATACAATTATACAAAGTTGAAATAATACTTTTCCATTATATGGGTATGCACAATCTTATACTATATGAATACTGAAATTACTGAAATAATTAACTAAAACCAATTAATGTCACAGACATTTACATTTTAGCCCTCAATAGTAAAAATTCCCCTCCCCTAAAACAAAAAAGTTAACATACATGCTTGTCCGAGTTATACCATCCATCTTGTGCATTTCTGTCGCTAGGGTTACTGGCTACAGCCTTGGCATTTATAACCAATGGTGAGATACCTAGAATAGAATCAGAAAATGTCAACACTGAAACAGAAAACAACAACCATTTGTCAGCTGTGGGGCGTGAGCCACCAACTAGTTCAAATCTGCACTAAATGCTGGTCAAATGACATAAACTACGTGTATACAATTTGAATAAATAAACAAATGCAACCAGGTCAGTAAAGGACTATATGGCATCCAAAACATAACGCGTTGAAAATAGGAAAAATATCTCCTTGTACAAGTACGGTTATACCATAATTATTGTGCCATATTGTTGCATGCCCCTCTGCATGGTTTGCCACTGATTCTACGGACATTTTAAGATGACAAAACAATTATTAACAGTAATCCACATTGAATAATTAAGGAAATGAATCTTCATTTGCAGATAATAATTATTTAATATCATTTCCATTTTTGTATCTTTCATCTCTACATTACCCAATGGAAACAAAAGAATAATCAAACATAACTCACGTTGGGTCATACGTTCCGAGGCTTCGCTGACCTTCTGTACAAAGTTAGGATCTTCAGAATTCTCCACTTCCTGGTTAGCTACCATGAAAACTCGATTGGCACGGCGAGCCATATTGGATGCACCACTCACGATCTGTGCTGGGTCTTGGTTCTTGATGGCACCATCCACCATGTTGCTATCGTGCTTCAACGCTTCCTCTGAAAGGAGTATGAACAAAAAGACACAAGTTGAAAAACCTGGGATTCATTTCTCCCCAATGGGTGCTTTATCAAAATTAAAAATATTTTTAAGGGATATTTTTTTATCCACCCTCAGGAGATTTTTGTCATTTCTGTATTCCTTTCTCTTGATGAGGTCATAAACAATTCCAGTGAAAAACACCAACATTTTGGTTGTTCTGATCTAGGAGCAATCTCAATAACAAAATGTTGGTGGTTTTCACTGTAATGATGGACAAATTCGAACACCACAATGTGATATAATCTGGAAATGAATCAGTAACACAAAACTTATTTTATAATTCATTACCTGTAGACCACTCATCTCAATTGAAAACAACCATTGGGACAACAAAGCACTGTTATAGAGTAACACATGTGATCTACCCCAAACTTGTTCATTACCAAAACTTAGTCAATGTTGTCGATATCAAAAAAGCAAGCACACCTGTAGCTTTGATGAAAGACACAGTATCTGTCGCTTCATCTACGAGTCCCGTCAACTTCTCCATATTGCCGGTCCACTCCTTCTTCAGCATTTCAAAATGCTCCCTGGCAGCCTGTAAGAATTGCAAACGGCGTTAATTAATCTAAAACAAAGGACATATTAACACTTATATTTATCATATAATGGAACATATTCGTATTGCTATTTCACCAGAAGAAGATACCGGTAATGTTGAAAAACATGGTCAAACTATGGTAGCCTTGCCAGTATCATTACAATATAAATATGTGAGCACACTTTGACCTCAACTGGGCTGATACCTGATATAAGGCACTCCTAGGCAGGCACACCCAGAGTTAAAGAAAAACTGGAATTGTAATTGCATATTACAGCGTATGACATGGTGGGAGTGCATACAAATTCTCAGCAGTCGCTGGGTTGGTGTGGCTTGTTAGCTGTTGTACATATACGGTAGCGTTGTTTATGTGTGGGCTTCAAATACGAACACAACGTTCAACACCATCAATGTGGTGAAAACCATCGACGATGCTGAACGTTAGTTGCATGGAGCGTAAATTTCAATAGAACTCACTGTAATGATGCATGCGCTGTGAAATAAGGAAAAAGAGCCCAAGGCATATGCACTGCATACACAATATTCTAATAACTTTTAACAAGGTTATGATGTAGACATATTTCATGAATATTATTTGAAAGTGAAACTATTAATAGAAAACATTTAGTATGACACGTCAGAATCATGTATATTCGATCTTGACCCCCACTCTGTCTAGTGTGGATATTTGAAGACTGTAAACACTTTCTAGGTATAATACAAAACTGGTCACTAAATTTAACAAGTGTATCTAGCATATATACTCAAATCGGTTTCAATAGGTTTTGATTGCATACAGCGCCACCTGCAGTTTGTTCCCGGCTCTATGCGTCTAGGCACTAAGTCATCCATACACAAATTAAATACAAATTTCTGTAATGGGATTTTTTAAAGGGTGATGGTCGTTGTGCGGTTTTTGTATTGATAAAAATTGATTTTCCCCAAATCCAATGCACTCTTCTAAAGGAAATTATGAGTATGAGTTTTGATTTGGGCTCGACATGCACTAAATATTCCCATTGACTTCTTTGATATCACCAAGAAAATTACTTTAGTTAATACTTGATAACGTTTTAGTTTGTACTTGTTGGTTTGTGCAACAGTCAAAGTCGCCATCGTTCATACAAGACCTCGGACAGTTGTGGTGCGATAACCACAGACCACGGTGGAAAAAGTTAGTAGTTCTAATGATCACAAGGTCACAGTGATAAATAAACATTGCAGTCACAACAGAAATACACAACCAACATTGAACAAAAATATTTTAGAAACTAAAAATCTTAATTAATGAAAGAAATCTAAACAAATTTTAAAATCTGCCTATCGTAGGGAAAACAAATAAACAATTATAAAATTATGGACCTCAGTTCTCAACAAATTCTGCAAAGGTTACACAGTATATGAGTAAAAATGCGGGGTGTACCATTATTTCTGATAGGGTGGCTAAGCAAGAATTGTTGAAGGAAAAAACAAATAATTTTGTATAATTTCGCAGAATGAAAAATAACTTCCAGATTATACAGTATTGATTTAAAACAAACAATCTCAAAATTGGTAACCAATACACCCCCAAAAATAATGGTATGTCCCAAAGTGTGAATGCAATGCACACTAGACAGACATTTCAGCCAAAAGCAACTTACGTCATGTCGCAGTCTTTCCTGGTTGCCATGGAAATGCATGAAGAAATGGATGAGTGAATGTTAGTGCTAAAGCAGTGGTTAGTGTCAAAGCGACATTAACACAGGGTTTGAAATTGACGTAGTTGGGAGAGCGAAACCAATGCAAGGAGCCATATAAACTTATGATGATATATAGACAGTAACCTTCTATATGTAAATTCAACAATAGATCTTGTACAGTGAAAATTTCACTGGGATCACAAGAAGAAAAGTTGTCCTCACCAACACCATTAAATCATTTACTGTAGCTACATGTTCAGCACAAAATAAGGATGCTTTGTTTCTTACTTGGAGGGGAGGGGAGGGGCCATTATTTTATGACATCATTTCAAACCCAGAGTTATATGCTCTGATTGGTCTATAAGCAGGGATTTTGACACAAAGCTAACATGGCATACAAGTTATTTTGTTATTGTTAACACTAGACAGATGGTAATGCAAAAAGTTAACTATTATTCAACAAGTTTGAATTTCCTTAGTATAAGCTATTTTCACTGAAGACAAGTTTACCAGCATGTACAAAACAACTCTGACATGCACAATTCTCTGTATTAATTGTTTAGGAATAAAGTTAAAAACAATTCTTGAAAATAGAAGAAAAATTAACAATCCATAATTAATTTTCACTAAATCCAAGGAAGACAAGATTTAATATAATACACTCACCTCATTGTCAGGATTTTCTAGCAATATACGTCCAGCATGGATTACTTGAGGAGTCATATCACGAACCTACAAACATTATTTAAAAAGAATATTGAACAATGTGGAACTGGCACTTGATGAAAAATAGGATGACTATATCTCACAAAATTCTTCCGTAGATTGAATCTGGTTTTATACCTGTTGGGATCTGTCATGTATTGCTTCTACAGTTCTTTTATCATTACAACCACCAGCTTCAGCCACTCGCTGCGCAGTGTTGGCAAGACGACTAGAATGCTGATCAAATGAACCAGCTTTATTACTGAACTCTGCCTCTCTGTTTGGAGCACCTGAAAGGATATTGATATGAGTGAGCCATCTAGTGGCAAGTATGGAATAAACTTTTGTTTTCATCACTTGGTTTTGTGCTGGGTTTGTTAAATGAGGGTGATTTGGTCAAATTTCTTAATGCTGATTGATAAGGGATACTGCAACATTTTGAAGAGAAAACTCTTATATACCAATATAGAAGAGATATTATTCAGTAAAATCAGACCAGCAAATGTCATCAATAAAAAAATATCTATGTTCTAGCAGAACCATGCACAATAAATCTGATGGCTAACTTTCCAAATGAATAAAGCAAAAGATGAAAATTCAAAGGGAATACAAAAGTTAGAATGTCATTACCTGGTGGAGCATAAGCGGCAGCACTAAATTGCTTCAATGGCGTGGTTGTGTCAATAAAGACTTCAGCCACCTGTGAATTAAAATGAACAGTTGTTTAGTCTCAAATTCACAGTAAATTGTAATTGTTCACAATCACTTTGATGCAAAAACTAAATCTTTTACTTCACAGAATAAATGTGCCAGATAAATAAACAAGTGTTCATGAATAACAAATGAGCATAAGAATTTTCATATGCAAATATATCACCCAGAATGTATACTTTGCATTATGGGTAAATAATAAATGACCAAAATTTACCTGATTGACTAGTGATTGTTGAATTGCATCTTTCAACTCCTGAAGTTTGGAAGACAGTTGACGACTGATAGCATGGGCTTGGGGTGTGTTGCCCTGTCCACGAGCACACAGATCAGCTAGCTGATTGGTCAGTCTCTCGCAGTCATCACAGAGCTGATGTAGTCGGACACGCTCTGGTCCAGAGCATCCTTCAGCCACTTTCCGTCCTTCATTGATGACCATTCTCAGGGCTTGTTGACCTGGTGATCAAATTTATTAGCTGGTATGAGTTATCAATTTGTTGAAAAAATTAAAACATTTGTACCAACTGAGCTATTTGGTAAATACTACTGGTAGTAGTAGCGTTCAGCAGTTGTTTGTAACAAACAGAGGGAATCAAAACTACATAATGTAGAGATTAACAAATTCGGTTTCAGTATAACAGAGTTATGAGAAAATAGAAAATAAGTCTTACCGAGACCCCTATCATCCACACCAGGAGAAGCCAACCACTGCTGCGCCTGTTCTACTTTGCCACTGACAGTTGGAGCCGGTTTACGGATACCACTCTGAGCATAGTGGGCTACGGCGCTGTTAACACGTCCAGTCAAATAGTCGACTCTATCTTGTATAGCCCTGGCAAGCTGCTGAGCCTGGGGAGTGTTGCCCTCCCCTCTCGCTCTCAATTCAGCTAACTGATCAGTCATTACTGTGATATCATCACAGAGTCTCAGTATCTCGTCTTTTTCAGGTCCCTCGCACCTTGCTCCAACTTTACGTGCTTCGTCAACAATCTGACGAATTGATCTTTCACCTGTCATTGTGAAATATTAGAGTAATATATAAAATAAGAATTTAAAGTACCGAAATGTAATGGCAGCAACTTTGTTTATTCATTTTAAGCAGCCCAGAGTGGGTGTTTAATACTCCTGACAGTAACTATGACAACTAATGTTTTAACCTTTTCACCACTAGACTTTCACACCCAAATTAGTCTACACTTTTTTTTATATTCTTCCATATTTCTGGAAATGAATCCAAATTCAAACAAAATTTGAGTCAATTTTCAGTTTTTACTCAAAAGATTCAGCTATTTTTGTCCCAATCTTCTGAAGGAATGTGCAGACTATAAATGGGACTATTTCGTGAATTTGTGATGAAAAGAGGGTACTGGAGGTGAAAAAGATAAACAAATAAACAAAACAAAGAATTATGATGTACCCAAACCACCAGGTTCCGCGTGAGGGTTGCTCAACCAATCCTTGGCGAGGTCTCCTTTACCAAATATAGCGGCCTGGGCTTTTTTCATCACTGTGATATCATCAACATCCCAGCCTTCTTCATCGTATGTTGTCAGTTGCAATACACGAATTATCTCGTGTATTTCCTGCGACATCTTGGTAACCACGTAGTTTCGGTTCTCCTGTGATTCGCCTACACCTCTACCGCCTGTGAAGTAAAAGAAAAATGTGTACATTTCCGTCAGCATTCACAAGTGACAGTATCAGTAGATTTGGGATGTCTCAATTATCAACAACAATGCAACTAACTCAATGTATTCATACGTACTCATCTCGAGATACGTTAGCTATCGGCTGAGACATCAAATCGTAGATACATACCTGTTTGCTTGGTAGTGACGAATATCTTGATACCAGAAATCAGTACAGGAGTCAAATTCTTAACACTGTTGATTGAATACACTAACTTCTCACGATGAACTTGATGTGTCAGTTCTTTCTCTCTCTGGTCTATCATTTTAGACATTGTAGTCATTCCGGGAGTCAAATTCTATTTAAAAAAACATAGCAAAACTGTGGATGCCTTGCCTTATATAATTATATGTCACTCATGAAAGACCTTTTTCTTTATTAGGCATGGCAATATTCAACTTTGCAATTCTAACATGATAATGAGTACATTTTGAATTTTAAGAAAGACGGTAATTTTTCTCTCTGTAGAAGCCCTGTCGAATTTTCACAGCTACAAGATTTCGCAGTTTTCCCAGAAATGCAAGAACACGTGCCAAACGTGACTGCAAGCAGTCTCTGCTTCTCACCACAGAGGGGGTAGTTCACCATTGCACTGCCAAATTGACATATTTTCTCTTCATTTTCCAATGTTAATTTTGTACTAAATGAAGTCCTAAGCGGCTTTGAATTTTTCATGAAATTTGCCTAATATTTAAGTATAAGACTTTATGAAAGGGGATAACATTTGACAATGGCAGTAAAAGGATTCAATGGCAACACCATTGATTAATACTTGTATCACTGCACATCTCAAAAAAAAAAAAAAACATTTCATAATTTTGTTTCATTTCCGCCAGAACACTCACCTTCACAAATGTTACCAGATCTTCCATTGATTCGACGACCTCAGCAATGGCTAAATATTCCAACACACTTTTACATACTCGGAGAATCTTCCTCACTTCGGCTTCGTCAAAAGCCAGTAGCAATGCTGAGGTACCTGACAAAATACCTGAATTTATACAGCAAAAAAAAATACTTTTACATTAAAACATATTTTCTACTTTCACTTTAAATATTTGTTTTTAATATGATGCTTTAATGATATACATGAATATACATAACAGTGTGATTTTTCTAAATGTTATAATTTGCATAATAAGAAATAATTACAACATTCAACAGGGTACTAACATTCTGCTATATTAAAGCCAGAGAAATCATAAAAATAATTTGTTGTTATTGAATCACACTCAGTCAGGTACAGTTTGTACCTATGATATTGGATACTTCTTCAGAATGTTGGGATATAGAGGAACACATAATCTGTAATATTGTTTGATTAAGAACTCTTATATTACCATGGTAACTTCAATCAGAAATACATTTCCACTAGTATTTCAAACAAGTTATGTTTTAATGGAATTGTCAATCCACGGAAGTCAAACTAAACCAATTATTTTAACTTTATAAACATTGTTTTGTTTGGTTGGACTCCGGCCTTATGTGAATATTTTTCAGCGTTACATAATTAATTTTTATGTCATTGTGTCATTTCACTTGGTACGTGTCCCAGATTTGATAGTAGCGACCCAGGAAGACAGTGGAATAAGACTAGAGACAGTGGCCAAAAAGAGACACTGAGTCAGCAATGCCCAACTGCCAAGGGCGCTAACATCAAGTCATACACGTACGCATGACTGACTTCAGCATGACAGAAAATCCTTGTGTTGAGTCAGTTTCAGTTACAGTATTTACATGCGCTTGTAATAGTAAAATAATGTAAATGAAATCCACACACTCACAGTTGATCATTGGAATACTAACTTCCAGGTATGTTTTAAACCTATGACCTCCAGGATAAAAAGCCTGAAGCAACAAAAACAACATTAACAATTTATTTGTTTCTACCTCTAGCGCCATCTATCAATTTCTTCCTGGCAGGCACGGAGAATGGGTCATCCCTCAGCAACCCTGATGCATCAACCAATAACCCAGAAGCCTCCTCCACCCTATTCAGTGCCAGCGGCATTTCTTGTTTAAGGACTTTATCGGCACTGGTCTCCGCAGTCTCACGACCAACCTGATAAATATAATTGAATCTCATTGTTTAAAAAATATATATCGATAACAGATATTAAATATGGCATAATGTTATGATAGATAACTTGACAAGACAATATTTTGTTTTCACTTCACTGTTTGATATTTCCTAAAACTGATATAAGATTTTGTAGCACACTAATTACAAGTGATGATAATGAGGATTATTTTTTGGAGTTGTCATCCAAACTTTTTTGGGACTACTGGTATGTCGTCTGTATTTATATTTAGTGTATTCTTTTAGAATTCATAAGCATAATACTGTAAAATACTTTATTTTGGATTTATTTTATTTTGAATTCATTTTTGCTGGAGGGATGATTCAGTGAAAATAAAATCCAGTGAATATACCTTTTTTTTTTTTTTGTTTTACATTCAACTTGTCAAAAATCAGTGAAAATAAATTCAATAAACACACCTAAAATGTCTTTTTAGCGAAAATTAATTCCAGCTAAAATAAAATAATTTACAGCAGTTAAAACTTAATCCGGATTGTTATTAAAAGCATAGCCAACAATTCAATCAGTAAAGTTGAAACTTGAAAATTGTTCCGTCATCATAAAAGTAACTACTTGAAATGAGTATCAATGACATAAAAAATAAAGCTACATTTTCTGTTCTACAGAAATGTAATGATTCATTGCCAGATTTTAAAGTATGAAAGTTTGAATGCCACAACATTTCCTGTCAAAATTATGCAAATTTTTTTTTCTATAATTTTTGATCAAAATTGTTATTTTTGTTGACAGTTGTTTTTCTGTTTAAAAGGTTTAAAATGGTATTAAACATAACTCAATCATAACATATTGCTGGCAATGATGGCATTCAAAATTTAAAATTGAGTTACAATTTTTCTATACTAAAAATCTATAAAGGGCTAGCTAGCTAATATGAGAAGTGAGATACACTGGCTAAATTAAATATTTTCGCCATTCCTGATGGCAACAAGAGAATTCAAATCTGAAATACAGATAAACAGAATAAAAATACACCTGTCAAGTTAGTTTGGGATTATGTTGCAATGGTCTTCAATTTACCAGGTGTTTGTATTGAGTGTTGTGTTTGCATGCATGATATATAATCAGGACGCAAGGTTTCAATGACACACAAGACCCAACATGTGTCCTGGTAAAACATTTATGCATATAATATTTGACTTCTTGTCTTAGGTCAGGGGGCAATGACACATAACCAGTTCAAAGCGCACAAGTTATAATGAGATTAACAAATCACCAAAAAGAATAATAATCTCTCAAGAAATTTGGGACAGCAAGTTGCCTCATTTACATACACATTTACATAACTTTAACTTTATTCACATAATACCATTTATTTACACTGACATTTAATTTCACTATTTTGATGTTTTGAGCATATTCACTGTGTTTTAAGTTCACAAATTTGTGAATGAAACAATGAGTTTTATTGTTACCGGGGTATTTCACATATTCACATATGTGAATTAATTTAGCAAATTTTACTTAGGCCACACCAACTTAATTTTATGGATGACATCCGCGCGCGCATTAGTTTTCGTCTGTTCTCAAAAAACAAAAACAAATCTCCGACGACGAGTCTCTACAAATCGGTTTTCTGTCCTGTTTTCTCATATTGTAACAACGCGCCGGCTTGTCGTAAAACTCATTTTGGACTACCTCAAAACGTGCCAATTTTGTCGTAAATGATTCCAACATGGCGACCACGCCACCAGAATACGTGAGCATAAAAGTTCAGAGGAAAAACGGAGGGATTGTCGTAGACTGGTACAGGGAGATGTGACGTGGTAGCGTCAAGTGAGTTTCGCCCAGACAACTTTAAGGACATATTGTCCAGAGTGGCTGTCTCGCGTTTCTTCTGCAACGATGAGAAAAATGGGAAAGGAGTGGAGGTGTATGGTGGCCTAAAACTTGGTCAGGTGACAAGTCAGTTTGGTTGCTTTGTCCGCATTGAAGTGTACAAAACTGCAACGAAAGTGAGCAAGCTCCACGGCCGAAAAGAAAATTTTCTTCTTATTTTTTTTTTCATTTTCTGATTCGGATAATTTGCTTGCACACACAGTGCAATGTTTTGTTAGTTATTGTCATAAAGTAGTGATATTTACATTCCGCCTTGACTTGTACTGAAAATGGTGTTCATGCTGTACCTTGAATGAAGTGTTTCTGACTGAAGGTACTTCATCATGACTACATGTACTAGAGCTTGTCTGAATGGGTTATACCTGTGACAGTAATACAGTACGAGATGTGTACATCAACATGTGCCTCCTACAAATAAAGATTTCTTGTTGTTTTTTTGATACACTCTGTTCCGTGGTTCAATTCGTAATACCAACTCCGTAGTCGTGTGGTTTTAGCAGGATTTTTTTTTTTGCCCTCTCGCATTAGTTTTGGGGTCTCCAGAGAATGTCATCCATAAAATTAAATCAGTGTGGCCTTATCAACAAAAATAGCAAAATTAAAACCCAGTAAATAATTAATACATTTACAGTATTATGTTGGAATAATAGCCATCTTTAGCATAAAAAACATTTGAGCACAGTAAAACTAACATGTTAAAAGATGTCTTCATTTCATTTAAACGCAGTATATTTTGACTGTTTTGAAGGTCAAAATAATGCTTAATTTTTATGATCATAAGATTTCTAAATATGGGCATTCCAAAGGTCAAGAGTTCAAAAAGTACTTTTGAATATACTCTACATAGTACATATAATGTGATATATGTGACAAATGTGAACAAAAATGGTAAATGTTTCTCAGAGATATAGTAGTATCTTTGATCACGAAACGAATCAACATGAAAAATGTGTATGCCAAATTGGAACAAAATATGCCAAATCACCTCCAAGATAACACATTTTCAACAAACAAGATAGCCACCAGTCGGCCATATTTAATCAAATCACAAAATAAATTGACAAGAAGCAATTTGATCAGATTGTGAAATGAATGGTCATGGAGATGGATTATGAAATTGAAGCTCGAATATATAACATTTTTGCTGACAGGGAGAACTGCAACTATATCAGACATTAACCTAGAGCCTGGGGATGATGATGAAAATATATCATCCAGCTTGATACATACAAGTTATGGTCCTATGACCTCCAACCTTTGACCTATTACTGTGATTACATTGACACACACTGTGCCCAGATTTATGGCATACATAAAATGTGATACATAAGCACAGCAAGCTGCTACAACATATGGTAGACTGTCAACATATCTGTGCTAACAATGAGGCGGTGGATTGGTTAAGTCAGTGTGTGAAATTACTGTCTACTCTTATGCCCAAGACAGGTAGTTTTCCAGTTGGGCTGGTAAAAATTAAAATTTGTATGCCAAAGGGTGTCATTGTTTTCTTCAATTACAATTTCACTGAAAATATTACTGTATGAAGTTGAATGTCCTCTGATGGCTAAGACAAAGATCATGAAACAAAGAATGCAACAATTTCAAAGGAAAAATTTAAATAATTCATTCTGCACTATGTTTTTGTGGTGCTAACATGAAATGGGAACAGAAGTATTTTAAAGTAGTTGTTAATGCAAGGCTGGCAAAATTGGAAAGTTACCTGGCCTGGTAATTGGTACACAACGTTTGATAATTTCAAACACTGATAGGGTGGGATTGGATCAGATGGTGAGTTCATGGATACAGATTGTGTTACAATAATAGATTTGTGATAAGAAAATGATTGAAAAATATCAAAATGTCTTCTTACTTTGACCAGGTTGTTGACGGCGGCACATACAGCTTGCACCGGCCGATACAAATCGGGCATGGCATTGCCATCTTCGGCTTCTTCATGTAAGATTACAAGTTGGGAGACCTATGAAGATAAAGTGAGAAATAAGTACACTGACTTCAATTGCTTTGATATTGACATGATTAATTGATTTCTAAGTAACTATAACAAAACTCAGAGACAGTATTTATTATTTACATTACAACAATTACTTCACAATTAACTACTTCTAATTTTCATTTTCAACTGAACAGCAAACATGGATGTCAATAGAAAACTCAACACTATTTATGGGGTTTTCTCAGGCCAAATATCAATAGTGTGCTTCTGGTAACAATGAAAACAAATATAGATAGGTAGTTTTTATTTTATGTAAATTAATCAATTATTCCTAATTTGATTTTCTGCAGTGCTGCTCGGCCCATACTGTTATACAAGAGTATTTTTTCAATAAAACTCTACATCTTGCATGTGGAGGTTGACATTTTGGTTAAAAAATGATGAATTTCAAGTAGAACTGAAAGGTGTACCTACAAATGCCCATTTTCTAGTTTCGCCATAAAAAATACAGGTTCGGCCTCAAAAATCTAGGGCTCACTCTCAAGATTTTGATGGATATTTGTGGATACGAGGTTACTGGTAATATGTGAATATGAAGTAAGTACTAAAACAGTGCAGTGATCGTAATGGCCGACATGCAACAGGAGTCAGGGCGATCACGAACTGATTGAGCACATTGCGGTATTTCTGTGATAACATTATCATTATACTTCCTTTCTGTCACATAATAATAACGTGAAGAGAGATAACAGACATTACGTTCAGTGACGTGATTCCATTTCAGTCAGCCATGTTTCTGCGTTTGATGTATATAAATAAAAGTGTTTGAATGTGACGTAAGCACAAGACGTATTTCCCGAATACATGTCAGTAACACTTTTACATTTGATTTGGTATAGAATTAGTCAATAGCATTCAGTTGTTCTGGTATGTTAGAAAACTTAATTTAGAAAAAAAAAACTAATCTAAAAACATTTCTAGCCAGTAGCTGGTCAAAATGACACTTACTATGAACAAAATAGCGAGTATTTTTTTGCAATTCAGCAGTGAAGAACACAAAAATAAATAGACAGCGGCTTTTCAATGTTTTTCGTATCACTTGTTTCAAATAATAATGATAAAGCATTATTTCAATTTTAACTAAATAATTTAACTTGTTTAGAACCAAAAAATTCAGCAAAAAGTGTTCTGTTGAAAACAACTTTGTCTAACCCCACATTGAGTGTGTGATCTAAAAAAAGTTTTGAGATACATCTATGATGAAATGTACGGTAGTTACCATAGTTTCCAACCACAAAAAAAAAAGTGTAGTGTATTTTACAATGATTTTCACAATTAATAAATTGTAACATTATTTGATTTACAAGTTAACCTTACAAAGCGTCAAACAAATTTTTTTTTTTTTTCAGATATTGGATTACGATTGCTGAAACCATGGAAATTAAAAACGTCTTTCGTCTTTTCATGATTAGTCATGAGTTCATCATTAGTGTAACATTTCTAGTGCCTGAATTCCACGAATACCTAAGATTTTTGAAACATGAAACTAGTGATACAACTCTGATATGGGGAAGTTGGAATGTATTTGGTGCAATAAAATGACAGGGTTCTCACATGTAATAAATTGTATGAGATAAGATGGTTCACTGACAATAATAAATTGAAATTGACGAAGATTGATTACGGTCATATAATAACTAGATTTCATTGTGGGTCTGGTGCCATCCTAAAACAACTTCTTGTTTAACTTTTTTATTTTTACCTACTTAGTAATGTAGGTCAACTTGAAGATATCAGAACACAACTAAATACCAGATAGTTCAACACAACTCAAAATATTTTAACCTCGAAAAACCTTCACCATATTTGCCCTACTAGTAGTGTATACCGGTACGCTTATGTAAATTACGAAACTGTTTCTATGGTTAAAATAACTAATATTCAATGATTCAGTATACATAAATGCCATTCTTGGTTTATATATGCTATTATTATACATCTGTCACCGTAACGCCATAAGTTACAGCGTGCCGTAATTTTGGAGTATTTTACGGGGTATTTTCATCCTACCATATTAGGAAATGCGAATTCCAAATATGGAACGATTACGTGCATAAGCGTCCTCTAATAATTAAAACAAACATGGCTGCCACCAGGGTTTGGCCGGACTCCATACAGAAAAGTTTGCTGATTCTGTTCTAAACTTTTCGGCATTCCCATGATGTATCCATGGTTGGAAACGATGTATAATAATAAGGTTATTATGAGGATACCTCAAAGTATACACTCAGACAGTACGCTGTCACACATCAACCTCCGTTGTGCGTCGGTCAATACTGCCGCTGTACTGTCTTCGTGCATACTTTTGAAGTATCTTCGTAATAACCTTATATTATTAGATATGCTTCGAATAGAGCAAATACAGTAATGGTATCACTATGGGAATATTTAAATGAATCATACTGGATACACTTATATGTAAATGTACTTTATTTTTCCTTGGAATTTACTTGGGATACTATAAACAGTTTAATATTCATCGCTACAAATGATCGGCATGTCATAGCCTGGGAGTATTTGAAAAGATAACATTTCCCAAAATTCTTCAGTTAAAGATATTCAGATTAACATGATTATTTTTATTCATGATGTTATTCACAGAAGTCGTATAAAAGCATGTGGTGACTAAACTGCTTTTTATATACAAATGGCTAACAAAAAACATGAAAACTGTGATATTTGAGCCATTTAACATTGGTTTCTATGGGAGAAAGATCTAGTCATATTTAAAATATCGTTTGGTGACGTATAGATGGTTGTTACAAGATGGGTAATTCTGATTGTCACAAATTATTAGGATACTGGCGAATACGATTTATTTTTCATGAAATAATGCTTTTACATGAATTCCTTTGGAAATTGTTAAAAAAATGGCATTTTGTCACAAGATATTCTGTAAATCCATGATTTATATCAGACAAAAACACTCAAGAGTCTATGCATATATCCATCGATAATTAATTAAATAACACTTTTAAAACAAAATATTGGGATTACATTTTTACCCTTTTTAATAGGTTGAAATACTTGTGATAATGTTCAAACTCCTCATGTCCACATCCGCGCTCAATTCCAGAAATTTGAAATATATCTCTTCTGAAATTGACAGTATTTCCACTGGGATGAATTTGGGAAATTAATAACCATATAAAAAAATGTGGGTTTTCCTATATTTTGTATTTCTAAAATACAGATGTATAAATAACGCAGTTTTCCGCCAAGATTTCAAATAATATTTTTGTTTAAATAGTTTCAAAGAGATTCATAATATTTTTATAATGCCACAGATACCTATATGCTTTTTGCAAACCGTGCCCATGCAACGACAAATTTATGTTGCATGTCCTACCATTTGAATTCCTGACTGTCAGTCCCAAGGGTGAAGTTGTATACATGTATGGTTATATATTGGTTAATTTATGAACTCTGCCTCACAGAAATAACACACGATATAAGTTTCACCTCTAGAAACCTTCAGAAAAAATGTATTTACATAATTATCCAATATATTTTCAGTTCTCATGCTAAGTCTAATGTTCATTCACTTTAATCAGCAGAAAATCCATTTGGATAATTACATTAGCACAATCAGACTTCATATCATCACTAAGTCAGGAGCCCAAATAGGCCATCTGTTCTTTGAGTCTGTAATAAAAACACTAAAACAGTGTTTTAGCTATGTATGCCTCAGTTTTAATTCATTATGTAATCCTGTCATAATATTGAATTAATTAATTAAATTTTATCAAAAAAATTTAAGATTGCACTGATCATTATCATCACCGTCTTTTCAATCTTATTATATGAAATTGTTTTGTTAGCTTGCTAAGGAAAAATTAAACCCAGTTTCATTCCAACAAAATCACTACCAGATTGGTATATTAGTAATTTGTCACTCTGATAAGAATCTGTTATTTAATAGCAATTCACCTGCCACATGGCTACTGAGAAATTCATGAAAACTGACTGCTTTGACCAATAGTGGCACTAGGATCATTTAAAACAGTTTTAAAATAAGAATGTGGCAGTTTATGTGTGGAATTGCTATAATACAGTTACTTGTGTACAAGAAATATACAACAAGCAGCCTATCGGCTGAGATAGCTCTGCTGTTAGCAATGCACATTTCAATTAAAGAACTGAAGACATCATTAGAAAATGAACAATATGAATAGTATCAAAGCAATCGGACTTACAGTTTTTAACAAGAAGTCGAAAATATCACTTTTTACCAAAAATTACAAAAATATTCACCAAAATAAATTAATTAGAGAATTGAAGATATCATCACAAAATGAACAAATCTGAGAGAGTTCCACATGTAGTACCTATATATGTAATATCAAAGCAATCGGACTTACAGTTTTCAACAAGAAGTCGAAAATATCACTTTTTACCAAAAATGGCAAAAATATTCACCAAAATTAGAGAACTGAAGATATCATCACAAAATGAACAAATCTGAGAAAGGTCTACATGTAGTATCTATATATGTAATATCAAAGCAATTGAACTATTGATTTTAACAAGAAGTCGAAAATATCACTTTTTACCAAAAATTACAAAATATTCACCAAAATTAGAGAATTGAGATATCATCACAAAATGAACAAATCTGAAAA